TGAAGCCTGCTGTAATGCCAGAGCTTCTCAAAGACTCTATGCAGAGCGATATCGCAATCGTCGGCATCCGGGTCGTGAAGTATTCCCCCGGACCCATAGTGAAATATCTGAAGGTAAGTAATTTTTACACCTTTCTTGTTTGAAGTCATTCTTCTTCTAACATTCATTTTACACTTTTTTAAGGCCGCATACTCGGAAGGTGTGGCGCCGAGACAGGACGTCCTGCAACGGTAGATGTTGAAGTTGTGTTAGAGGAAGTGGAACTAGGTCCATCGACCTCAGTGAGAATGATGGAAAGACGGACTGGAATATCAAAAACTATAATATATAATACCATCGATTTCATCCCTACTACATTCAACGTGTTCAAGCTCTACAAGAGAGAGATTACCTGTCGAGGGTTAGATTTTACCGAGAAATGCTGCGAATGCATAAATCAGACCCCAACTTTTTAATAAAATAATTTGGAGCGATAAATCATCATGCAAACGTGATGGTTATTTTAATTTACATAACCTTCACAGTTGGCAGATAGACAATCCTCACGAAATGAGAGAATATCGTTCGCAGTACCAGTACAAAATAAATTTATAGTACGGTATTTTTAATTGTCGGATATTGGAACCTGTGGAACGCCGCCAATGCTCAACTCTCACAGTTATTTAGAGTACCTTCAAGAACTGCTTTCAACTCTTTTAGGAGATGTACCCTTGAACCTGCGGTGAAGACTAGGCCCTGCTCACTACGGGCGTGAAGTAAAAGCTCATTTAGACGAAACTTATCCTCGCCGATGGATTGGACAATACGGGCCAATCACGTGGCCTGCTCGATCGCCAGCCCTAAATCCATTCGATTTTTTCTACTGGGGCTGTCTTAAGGACAAAATTTATTCAAAAACAATTCAAAACGAAGACCATCTGCGGGAACAAACAAATGGAGCTGCTGCTGAGATAGCCCAATTCAGTTTAGGATCTTTAAAAGCGTCTTTTCTTAAAAGGTGCCGAGCTTGAATTAGAGTAGAAGGTCGCCAGTTTTATAATCAAATAAATTTTTTGTCAATTCCAATAAATTTCAATATTTCAAAAACAGTGACACTTTTACTTAAACAGTTTTTGCTTATCAGGGAGCTCACCCTCCCACCTACCTTCTCCTCAAATTTGGCAGCGTACTTCTGCGACACCCTGTATATGTAATCTAGGCATACTCGCAACATAGTGATCGCACGACAGAAGAATAAATGAGCAAGACAAAAAAATAACTTGATAAGAGTGGCCACAAGGCTTTATTGCAATGCAAACAAAATGCTTTTTAAACTAAAAAAAAATCAAAATTTTTGTGCTGCATTCAAGCTAGAAATAAATGTTTTATGTTTACCTTTTAAAAATATTTCAGAACTCCACCTCAGTATTCAATTAATTTCGAGTATACTTAGTAAGAAAACATTTACACATTTAATATATGTACATACATGCATGTATTATAAGTATATATTTATACAAATATGTATGTACATATTGCTGGCATAAAAAGTTGTGTGGCAAATGTGTCAACTTAGAAAATGTACGTATTACTGCCTTTATAGGGATCCTCAAAATCGGACACTTGCTACAATGAAACACGAAGATATGTAAAGTTATTATTAAGTCAAAGGAACTGAGTAATTAATAGCCGTCATCGATTCGCCACTTCGCTGCTTGCTATGTTTGAGTTCCGGTCGCTTAACGAAAAATTTCGCCTCTAAAAGCAACAACAAAGTTAGCTAGCAAGAATAGACGATAGCGAGTTTGAGTTCGTTCGTTTCGTCATTCGCTAACTGTTAGCGAATCGATGACGGCTAATATAGCATTGGGCGGAAACGTGATGTATGAAATAGGCAGTTTTAAAAAAGTTTTTGTTTTAGGTTAGGCAAATAAAATGTATGTACGAGTATGTATGTATGTAGTGGTTCAAACTGATTACTTAATGTAAATATTTTATATTTCTTTCAGTTATTTATTATTATTTTTGCCATTTTAAAGCGTTTCGATGCTTGAAATAACTCTCATATAAATATTTATGCATTAATACATGTATACCCTGAGCACTTCGTTACACTCTACAAATTGAAAGATAGTGATTCTGATTAAATGTATGTATGTATGTATATCATATGCATTTACTTAATGAAGATATAACTACATACACACCTCTAGTTGTAGTGCTCTCGGTTAAACAATGTGGGTGCTCATACTTGCCTGGTTTTCAGGCTATCTGGTTAAAAATTATTTTTCTGTAGTGTATTTTATCGTTGTAAACTGAATAAAAAATAACCACATAATCAGATACCCTAATAACCAGGTAGGTGTGAACGCCACAATATTATTTTTTCAATTATTTAGGTTTGAAAACTAACAAATTGGTTTGCATTCAAACTTTGTGTCGAGAATCGCTTGAACTCGAATGACAAATCAGTTGGTATCAAAGGAATTCGGGCAGGAGTACATCCTCTCCTTTATGTTTTCCAACAATAATAGTAGCTTCGATTAGGTAATTTAGTTATGTATTTGTCATGTTTGAAATGTAAAATTTAGGTTTTCGACTGCGGCACTCCTGACTGGTTCAATTTCCTACTAAATAATATAGGACATCCACTTCCCGTTTCGACCCCCAAAGATAGAGCATCCCCGATTTGGTAGGTCGTATTTTTGAGTGTTTCAATAAAAACCATTCGCCTCATTTTAAAAGGGTGGACCGATATCCTGGGACGCCCTCCGATTATTTCTCGTTGATATAAAAATTGTAATTACGCGATTGAAACTACCATATAAGGTCCGCCATTTTTAATTTGCATTGTTGTTGTTTTGTGATATTATAAAATTCTCCTAAAAATTTTCGATTCATAAAGCATTTCAAGTCTTCTTTATTTTCTATGAAGTTGACTGTAAGTAAATTACCCATTTGAACCGAACCGAGACTCAGAGATATTCACAAACCAGTTCTTGACCCATTAAAAGTTTTTTCTGTAGATTTTTGGAGCAATTTTTGGAACACTTTAGAGTAGTAATCCAAGGTTATAGTCCAAAGTGAAAAATGTACGAGTAAGTGAGCCTTAATACACATTTTGAATAAGATTTGGCTAATTTTAGGACAAACTGTTTCCTTTAAATGTGACTAATATGTATGTACAGAATTTGAATCGACCCAGATAAACATATATGTATGTGAATTTCAGGAATCTTTCAATTCCAGCGAGACCTATAAGTCAATTTTTATTATAAGAAAGGAACCTAATTTCTCTTGGTAAACAGTGCCACGAACCGGAAACTGTTTACCCTATGCACAACAGAAAACAGTAAAAATACATATCGTCGTTTAAAGTACAAAACTGCGTATTGTCATTCTGCAAAACCGCGTAACTGACATTGGCTGCCAAAAATTGGAGTTGCCCACACAAACTCTTGGCTCAATCCTTATTCATTCATGCCAGAAATGTGATTGCTTTATAAAAAGGAGAACCATTTTGAAATATGAGGGTTTTTACTATCTAGAAAATAATTTATGCAAAGCACATACGCGGTTTTGCATTATCTTTTTGCATTTTGTTGATACGCGGTTTTGTACTTTAAACGACGATATGTATGTGTATGTTATACGTTTGAGCTCAAACGTTCCAGTAGTTTGATACTTACCAGCAGACATACTCAGGTTTTTAATGTATAATAGAGCTGCGAAACTATTTTTTTATAATTAATCGAATATTTTATTTGTTTTTGCCGTCGCTAACGATAGCTCGTTCGAAGCTCAACGATTATTTGAGACTGTGCTGTTGCTGAACTGTTTGAAATTTCGCAGCCAAAGCAACAGAGCAGCAAACTGAAACCGACTGAAAACGCGGAGTCTGCGATTTCGGCACGACCAAAAGAAGAACAGTGAATATTCGAATAAATCGCTGCTGCAAAATCGCGCAAGTGTGTGGTTCCTCATTAAAAACTATGGTCGGCATAGTTGTAAAATTTGTCGGAACATATTCGCACCGACAGAATCGCATAGGGGTGTGATACCTTTATGCTGACAGTTTTTCAAATAGAAATATGTGTGTAAATATGCATGAGCAAGGAATAATCTAATTGACAAATGTATTATGGTGATTTCGTTTCTTCTAAAAAATGTTACCCTTCCCCGGTGCAAAGGCGAAATTTTTTGGTAGAAACGAAATAACTATAAAATATTTGATTTCATGTGAATGTTCTTAATTCAAATATAATGCAGTTATTAAGAAATTGGCTAAATATGTATGTATTCTCGTTATGTGAAATAAATTATTTTGTGGTTGAATAAGTAATTTTAAAATAATAGCTACATAATTACAAAAATAAATAAATAAATAACTATATAAAGTGTTTAATAAGTTAATAAATGAGGTGTATTTACCGTTTGTAACTTAAAAATGTCAATAATTGAAAAAAAAATTGAATGAGCTGCCACGTTTTTCCTATTAACTACATATGTACATATGTATGTAACATATCCATCTTTGTGCATACATTACAAAATTTTGCAGTAGTGTATTAACAACTGAGCGAAATTAACTGATTTGTAAACTTAATTTAGTTTGTTATGCATCAACATTTATATTTTATACAACACTTTTAAAGTACGAATGACTTCGCAAATCTGGTTTTCATTTAAAATCTATATGCTATACATTCAAAATTTTAATATCTAAACAAACTGACTATGTTCTTCTTTTTGGATTTTTTTTTCTTCTTGTTTTATTTAAAAATACCAACAAACTTTACGCATTTACATTAATTTAAATACAAATAAGTATGTATATATACTTGCTTGCACATGAGTACTTAATTTATAAATACCTACATACATATTTCTAATTTAACGTACTTATTTAACTTAGTTCTTAGCGCTTTGTGCGCCAGCATGGCAAGGCGCAATCTGTCTTAGATTAATTTGAATTTTTGGTATCGTTTTTTGGTTATTTACATTTACGTACATGTGTATGTATGTATATATATAGTATGGTATGGTGTAACTAATGATTTAATTTATTATTGGGAATGCAGTACAGTTTATTGCTCCTATGCGCATACACAATATTCATTCTGGCGAACAAAATCGAGTATAGAAAAATCATCGCTGGGTCATGTAATCCATCTAAATATGCACTTCCCGATAGCTTTGTCGTAGCATGTATTTCACTTGCCCACCATTGCGCCCAGCTGAGAGCACCACCCGCGGAGACTCTGCTGTGACGGACGTTCGTTGCTCATCCGCAGTTAGGCCAATGCCTTGGCTTTCGGCTGCACTGCTTTTCATTTCCTCACTTTCCAACTCGTCATCATCATCGTCGTAGTCTTCGCAAAAAGAGTAGCCAAGGTCTTCTTCATCGTCATCCACTGTGACGACATTACGATCGGCATCCTCTGTATTAATGCCACCACTCTCCTTTTCGTCGAAGTCTTTTGACAAATTGCCCGTGGTTTGCTGCTTTTCGTCGATCGATTGTTGGGTCCACTGTTTTGGCAATGCCAACTGTTTGTGCAGGTTCTGTCGGGTACCCGGTTTGGTGGCATAAATTAACTCCGGATGATGTTTAGTGAGCGCTTCTAAGGCCTCTAACGAGGCAGCGGGATTGAGGCTCACATGTGGTAATTGCGCACTTCGGGTGATTTGTTTGATTTCTTCTGCAAGCTCTTCGCTCATTTCAGATTTTTCTTCCTCCTCCTCTGCCTCGGCGGTTGTCAATTTGAAGGTCTGGCGAGTATTTTCCGTTATCGTTTCGGCAATTTGTGGTGCCATTCTTCCCATTATTGCCGGCGCTTCGCGTGCGTCTACTGGCGATGAAATTGGCTTAAAAATGCGCTGTTCGTGCCATGAAAGAGGCCGAAAAACTAGCGGGCCACCTTCTACGGCGTAGCGTTTGGATGAAGTAGGTGCAGCTGTTCCAGCTGGCGATAATGGTTCTGGGCGAACAGACTCTTTAACATCATCTGGCATAGTTATCGGCGCTCTTTGTTGTTGTTTTTCTTGCATTTGCATACGCAATTGCTGCAATTTGCAGTGTCGCAGTGTGCCAGCCACCGTTTGGGATGGCTGAAAGTGGAAGCTGTGATACTTGCGTAGTGGCAACTTGACTGGCCTGCGTCCCAAATAATCAACAGTTGAGGCCAGTGTTATTGTTGCACTTTCCTCATCCTCGATTTGTGGCAATATTAAATTCGTGATATCATCAGCGCAACCATCAGAATGGCCAGTAACGTTCTCCTCTGTGGTTGAAATCTTTTTGGTGGCATCAATAGCAACAACATCACCTTCATCGGCATTACCACCTAACGGTACTAATCTGCGCTGCTGCGATACAATGTCCTTGCTGTTGCCGTTGTTGCCTCCGCACGATTTTCGTTGGATTAGCAACGATTGCTGATGTTGCTCACGTTGGCGGCCATTGTTGTTGTCATGCTGTTGTTGTGATTTAGCTTGCTGTTGCTGTTTATCTGTTGCCTTGAGCGCGCCGACCGTACACTTGGCGGGATGATTGTGGGCATGTGTTTGGCACTCGGCAGCGCGGTGGCTGTTGGAGTGGTCGTTGCCATAGGTGATGTACCGGATATGTGCGTAGGGGTCGCTGATGGTTTTTCGTCGTAGTTTCTTACCGATGCCATGGGCGCTGAGGCTGTGGTCGGTGGCAGTGGTGTTGAAAGCGCAGGCGGTCGCTGTTGAGACGCATTCACTTGCTAGAAATGGATTAGTGACGCCAATACCAAAATGCTGTTAGTTAGTTTGGGGGTTATTGTTGTAGCAAGCAATGGCATAATTTCCAAGTTAATTGTTGCATGCGACATGAACACGTATTAGGGAGAAATTGAGGGAATTCACGGTGATGAAAAGCATGACGGTTTGTGTACGGTAGAATGTAATAACCAAAATAGTATGGTGTTGACAGGTGGCGCAAACAAATGAATTAAATATGAAATGAAAAATATAAAAGGAATTGATTAAATTAACAGTTAAATAAAGCTACATAAAATATTATCGAAAAACTAACCAGAAATAAATCGCATTGTACGTAGGGGTACAAAATTATAATCGGTTCCGTGTGTACAATAAAATTAAATAAAACAAGTAAGAAAGTCTAAGTTCGGGCGGAGCCGAACATTAAATACCAGGCGCAATTATTAAATATATGTTTTCCACCTTTCCGAAAGCTACCGCTACACGATAAGCCGGGGTGTATAAATTTTAAGTGAATTAGCATCCTTAAATTTCGAAATATTGCAGTTTCAAGCATTTCTGAAATATACCTTTATATGAAAAGCGGTCGTAATTTTAGTCCGATTTCAATAATTTTCAACGCTTTGCTTTTATGTGGCAAGCACAATAACCATACCGAGTTTGGTTCAAATTTCTAGAACGGTTAGCGAGATACATATATGTGATCATAAGTGGGCGGTGCCACGCCCATTTTCCAAAATTGTATCATAAGCGTATTTCTTGGTAAAAAATTGTTGCAACCATCAATTTTGAATAAATTAGCTTTAATATTTACTGATTTATCGAGGATTTCGTATTTTTCTAAATTACCGTTATATGATTCGTTAGGGTAGAGGTCGGAAACAATCGATAGCACTATCGTCACTATAGATGGTTTAAGACTAATGTATTGACTATCGACAGTTTCGAGAAAGTAAAAAAGTGTTAGAACAAAATTTGAAAACGGACGCTCATTGAATTCTCATTAGATTTTGGTATTTATTTTGCAGCGATTTATGTGATCTTCTAATTGGTGGACTGAAGAAAAGGTTATCCAATATGAACACCGATCATTGATAAGAAGGCAACTATCTTAGATAGTTGATTTTAAATGGATGGATTCCAATTGCGTAAACATAGTGCTGCCGTTCAAGATCCTTCAGTTACACCTACAACTATCGCACAAACCTTATAATTATTCGGTTTCATTGATACGCGGTACGCGGGTCTAAATTAGGAAACGTTGGTCTGGTATAGATTCCATTATATAATTTCATCAATATTACGAAACTAATATCACTATAGGTGCAGACCCACTTTTATTTTAGTAGGTAATTAATAACTAGTTATTGTGAACAGAATATACATATGTAGATTTTGATAAAGAGAGTATTTTATAGCTCACAGCGGAAAATCTGAGTCCTAAGACAGAATGCGCGCTGAAATATTTATGCATTCCACCAAGTTTGGTGGAGCCTGAGCGTATTTTCAGCACAGCCGGAATAATTATGAGTGAAAGGCGGTCTAGTTTAAAGCCTAAACAAAAAACAAAAGCTGCTTTGTTTTTAATAACAACAAAATTTTAATGAAATAATAAACATTTAGTAAATTATAAGGGTGTTAGGTCTATAATTATAATGTCATTTAACTCTCCATCATATGAAATTAGACTTACCAATATGGTAAAATATACATACATACATAGGTTATGAAAATGGAATCAAATTTAAAGAAATACACTTATAATTCAAAAGAAAACTATCGCAGACTATCGATAGTCTATAAGTTTAAGTTTAAGTGGTTTTTAAAAAACTATAGCACATTCTCGATGGAGGCGATTATCGATAGTTTCCGACCTAAGATGAAGTCTCTACGATAAGCAGAACCCGATATAAAGATTTTAAGACTAACATGATTAGTCAGAAATCGAAAAAATCCAATCTTTGACAGATCATGTCTCCGAAGAAAAAAATTTAAAAAAAATTAATATCCTCCAATACGTGTTAGCTTATTTCATGTCTAGAACCCATAAAAAATTTTAAGCGAACCGAAAGTGTGACACCAAATTTGGTGTCCGATACGAAAAAGAATGCCTCATATATTTACATATGTATTTGATGAAAATAATTGCTTCGCTAAAAAAATTTTGCTCTACGGCCAACTTTTACGGAACTGCATTCACACTTCTTTACCTACAAAGATATGGGATGCCATAAAAAAAACTCATCGGATTCCAAATCTTCTACTTGTTTAGCCATAATTAATTTTTGCAAAAAAATTTACAAAATTTCACGCCGTGAAATGTGTTTGGAATTTTAAAAGGATCGGTACCATATAATTCAGAAACCTCGATGTGAGAAGATAATATATGTATTTCAAGTCATATGTAGTAATTTCTAGTTATCTATAGTGATGTTAGATTCAAGTTCAATGGAACTTCCTAGATTCCAAAGTGGAGGGTGGCTGCAGAAGACTTATTTGGTAATTGGCATATCGTTTCGTTTGCAGAGAGAATGAATGGGGGATGAAGAAGAAGTGGTGGTGTGTATGCTTATGTTTAAAGAGATCATATTATTATAAAGGCTTATTTTCAATATTTGAAATTCAATGACATTTGCCGTCAAATAAGTGAAAACACATTGTCAAATGGAATTTCAACAGTATAGGTTTTTAGTTGGGTAAAACGACTATCTGTCCGTTTTTAACCCATAAATAAAGGAGATAAAGTTGTGTCAAAATATGTTCATAAAATTTTGCCATCAAAATATGACATAGTGAAAACCAGCCTTAAAAGTGTTCCTTCGAAAGCAAACAAATTTATGAACTTGCGTCGTCGCTTTTAAAACATACGAGTACTTCCCATGAGTTTTCCTATTGTTGAGAAGACTTTTCTTTTAGAATAAGAGAAAACCGGATACAGACTAAAAACCGGACTGTCCGGTCAAAAACCGGACACCTGGCAACCCTGTGTACGCCCGCCAACCTAAGAAATAGAGATGCCGTTTTTAAATCGATTAAATCGAAGATCAATTAATCGAACCCTTAGCATTCGATTTTCTAGTTCCGATTCGATTCGTGGATCGATCCAAAAAATCGCAAATCGACATTCAATTTTTTCTCAATTTAGGCATATGACATTGCATTAGAAAATCTATAAAATTTTAATCAAATTTGAATTTGAGACCAGTTAGTACAAAAAATGAAGGAGCTTGAGTATTGCATCTAGCTGTAATTTAGAGTATTTGCACTAGTTTATTTAACAAACTTAGCCAAAGCGCAAATTGGATCAAAATAATATTGAAAAAATGAAAGCATTTCAAAATATACAAGGCATTGTATAAGTTAATAAGCTTTTCTAGAAAAAATTTCAGGTACGCAGTTTTGTAGCCCATTCAATTTTAGTTAAATAAAGTGCAAACTTCAAGTCGCTGCAAATACCGTTGATTCTTGGCATTTTTTTTTTGTTGTCGGTGCTAGGCATTTTATTCATATGAAAATTTTGTCGAGCATACTTTGTATGAAAGAAAATACTCAAATTTTTTCTAAAAAGGGTAATTATGGAGTGAAATATGCAGTTAGCGAAAACAAAAAGAACATCGTTTTCT